TCGTCTTTTTTTAGCGAAGCAATTGATGTCGTCAAGAATTAACGTCGTCAAGAAATAACTGAGAGAGTTAAGAGAGGAAATTTGAGAAATTCGTATAATTTTTTTTTTCGTAAGAATCATCCAGGGAAATTATTTTTTTTTAAAAACAAGGAATTTTTTCTTGTTAGAGGCGAAAATTTAAGAAATTTAAATGATTTTCTTCATAAATAGCATGCTATGAAAAACGCAGAATTTTTTTCTTTTTTTTTAAAAAACGCAGAGTTTTTCTTTTTTTTTTTTTTTTTGAGGAAACGCGAAGATTTGACTGTATCTTTTTGTTTTTTTAAAGATATTCATATTCAAAAAGTTACTTGATGCGTTTTATTACCTCCACAAAAGTAAGAGTTGGAGCTCTGAATGTTTGGGGTATTTCCTCATAACTCTAAAAGCAATCGGACTCTCCGTCAGATAAGCGATGTACAGGATATCATTGTGACCATGATTGTCCACTTTTATATTGCATCTTTTTATTTCATTTGTTTTTTACTTAATTTTCACATTTTTCAATATCAAAATTTTAATTTCGTAAATTGAAAAAATTTTTTATGATGTATGCATTTATAAATTGCCAAAAGTAGTCAGCTACTAAAATTTTGTAAAGATTTGGCTTCTTTTTTTTTGGCTGCGCATGCTCCCCTGAGATACCTCCAAATTTGACATCCCCCTAACTATAATTTTTTGTTACAACCTTTTTCATAACCATAAAATACGCTCAATTTGCATAAGATGGCGCTTTACAGCCGTAGAATTTTTCAATTTTCTTCTGCGATATAAGCAAAATTTACGTTGAACTGCGATTTTTCAGACACTAAAATGCATAGTACTCTATGTTTTACTTGCACCACATAACAACGAACAATGGGATTTACTACATCACATTCATGAGGATCGAAAACTGGAACTTATACCTGAATATAATCTCCTTCTCGAATTATTCATCAACCAGGAATTGATCTCATGGAAGGTGTGTAAATATTCATTTTCACTTTTTTTGGTACTATAGTTCCTTTTAGTCAACGGGATTTCTTGCTTCAGCAAGGCAGTAGCAACGTTTGAAACGAAATAGTGGTGTTTAGCCATGGGGGGGGGGTCTAGGGCGGTC